CGCGGGCGGGTTGGAATGTGTCGCCTGGTTGCGCTTGCGGTTGCGGTTGCGCCCGCGGGCGGGTTGAAATGTGTCGCTTGGTTGCGGATGCGGTTGCGCCCGCGGGCGGGTTGAAACGTGTCGCCTTGATTCGGCTGCGGTTGCGCCCGCGGGCGGGTTGAAGTATGTAGTTTGGTTGATGTTCCGATTGCGGTTGCGGTTGCGGTTGCGCCCGCGGCCGGTTTGAGAAATGTGTTGCCTAGTTGCGCTTGCGGTTGCGCCCGCGGGCGGGTTGAAATTCGTCGCTTGGTTGCGGTTGCGGATGCGCCCGCGGGCGGGTTGAAATGTGTCGCTTGGTTGCGGTTACGGTTGCGCCCGCGGGCGGGTTGAAATGCGTCGCTTGGTTGCGGTTGCGGATGCGCCCGCGGGCGGGTTGAAATGTGTCGCTTGGTTGCGGTTGTGGTTGTACCCGCGGGCGGGTTGAAATGTGTCATTTGTTTGCGGTTGTGGTTACGCCCGCAGGCGGGTTGAAACGTGTCGCTTGTTTTCGATTGCGGTTGCGCCCGCGGGCGGGCTGAAATGTGTAAATTGCTTGCGGTTGCGGTTGCGCCCGCGGGCGGGTTGGTATGTGTCGTTTGGTTGCGGTTGCGGTTGCGCCCGCGGGCGGGTTGAAATGTGTCGTTTGATTGCGGTTCCAGTTGCGGTTGCGGTTGCGCCTGCGGGCGGTTTGAAATGTGTCGCTTGGTTGCGCTTGCGGTTGCGCCTGTGGGCTGGTTGAAATGTGTTCCGCCCGAGTTCGGGTCTAAATGTGTCATTTGTTTATTGTTGCGGTTGCAGCTGCACCCGCGGGCGGGTTGAAATGTGTCGCTTGGTTGCGGTTCCGGTGGCGCCCGCGGGCGGGCTGAAATGTGTCAATTGCTTGCGGTTACGGTTGCGCCTGCGGGCGGATTGAAACGTGTCACCCCGTTTCGGTTGCGGTTGCGCCCGCGGGCGGGTTGGAATGTGTCGTTTGGTTGCGGTTGCAGTTGCGGTTGCGCCCGCAGGCGGGTTGAGATGAGTCGCTTGGTTGCAGTTGCGGTTGCGTCTGCGGGCGGGTTGGTATGTGTCGTTTGGTTGCGGTTGCGGGTGCGCCTGGGCAGTTTGAAATGTCCTGTCAAAAGTGCCCTTCCAGAGTTCAGTCAGTTCAGTGCAGTTCAGTTCCGTCGGTCAGTCAGCGGAGGGCACGGAATTTCACTGGGCTCTGCCGGTAATCACCCAGACTATTTTGTTGACCAATTTTTTGCCAAGTTGTGTGTTGGCGTTGATGAAACCATTGAGCAGGGCATTGCCTCGACGCGGTATTGCAAAAGGATGGGCGGATGTGCGTCGGCCGTGCTACGAAGCAGAAGTACGCCCAGTTAGGCTGTGCATCGGTAATCGGGTTGTCCACGTATACGTTTTGGGGAGACTGCAGATTGAGGATGCGATCGATAGCTCTCTAGCGTCATGCTCCCCATTGCTTGCAAGCCACATGTGCCTAGATGGCCCACGTACTGAAGCAACATCAGGTCTCCGCGAATACGGCATGCACGAGACTGAACAGCCAGCCCTGTGAAGATCTGTATCAGCATCTGGTAGCCTTGCGTGCCACATTGCCTTCGCGACTGGCCCCATGACTCCAACGGCAGGAGATAATGTCTTTGGACGTGGGGTATCCTCAGTGAAACGTCTGTGTCGGAGCACGACCGGCACCCTCCGCCACGCCACGCCCACGGGGCCACGACCACAGGGGCGAGAGGGGGGAGCGATCCCATTCGCGAGGCCTTCGCGAGGCTCACGGGCGTACCTATCCAGCGGGGGGGGTCGATCCCATATGCACTGAGGGGGGCAGCCCTGGATCATATACTCCCATTGCCCCGTGTTCCATGGAGTACTGGATCTGCAGGGCGTGCTGGGCACGTCGAAGCGGAGGGTTGTCCAGATTGCTCAATGAGCACCCTCCCCAATGTCGCATCGCCCAACGCCCCGTTCCAGCCCCCCCCCACGCGCAGCGAGCGCACTCCCAAACGCGACCCCCTCCCCCCAGCGCCAGACAGGCCCATCCTACCCCCAATGCGATCCCCTCCACGCTTGCCTGACATCCGACGATGTGTTCTCGTTTCTCAATCGTCGCCCCATAGGGACCTCCTCCCTGCCCCATTTCGGCACACTCTTCACGCGCTTCGTGGCCCCATGAGGAGATCCACCGAAGGCGATACTACCGACGGTGGCATTCACAACTGCCTCTGGTTGGGGCCTTCGCCGGGCGAATGTTGTTTTCAGTCGGCGGCCCCAGAGGTTCCGGCCCCCTCCCTGGGGAGGGCTGCCCAGACTGCGCACCGAGCGCACTCCCCGATGCTTTTGTTTTTTTGTTTTTCAATCGGCCGATGTGTTTTTGTTTTTGAATCGGCGAATGTCGCATCGCCCGACGCCCCGTTCCAGCCCCCCTCCCACGCGCTCTGCCCAGCGGGCAGCTCTGCGCTCCGGGCCGAGCTCTCGTGGGTCGCCCCGGGGGCCCGGCGGCGGGCCCCGGAAGGCCGCATGCCAGGGGGAGGCGCCGGCACTGAGGCCAGCGGCGATGCGGCGGCGAGCGGCGGGGGGGGGGGGAATCTCGGAGGTGGGTAGACCTCCTGCCCTGACACGTCGATAGGGGGCCACATGCGAGCCCTACCTCTATCCCCCACGACTTCTGAAGGGATAGGGTGGGGTAGGGTTCGCATGTGGCCCCCTAGCCGATTCAGGAATTGGCCGTTTTCGGTTCGCTGGAGGGCGTCGCGGCCGTCATTTTTGCGGTTCCAGGTCCGTCGGTTTCGGTCCCAGGCCGTTTGCACTAAGGGGAGGTTTACGAAAGGGAGGTTTGTCCACCGCCGAGGGAAGCCGGGAAGGGGCGGCCCTTCTCATCTGGGGCGGCAAAGAGGGGGGTGATGATTAGGGGGGGGGGGATATCATGACGGGGGCCATGATATTTCCCCAGATTTCATGGCGCCTCTTCTTTTTTTATTACGTCCCTGGCCCCCCCCCCGCTGGGCCGCGCACATGCCGCCGGTCACGATTTGCACCCCCCCCCTTTTTGGACACTCCTCTTTTGGCCGCTCCCGATCTCAGAACCGTAGACACGCTAACGGCGATGTAGGCAACGGCGGTGTAGGTTTCGTGGGAACGCGTCTCTCGCGCCTTCCTACAATTCGCTGTGCCGTTTTCGTTCGATACGTTCGCACGTTGGAGATGTAGGAAAGTGTAGATCGTGATTTCCTACCATTTAGTTCCCAACACCACCGTTAAGCAACATCGCCGTTAGCGCGGCCTCGGCAGAAGGCTCAGAAGTCCCCCGGCCTTCTGAGGAGTTTTCAGAACCCTCCCGAAGACACGGGCAAACTTTCTCAGAAGGCGCGAGGGTTTCTGAGAAGTTCCGCTCTTTCTGAGAAGGCCTCCTTCCCATTTCCCCCCCTCGCCGCAGCTTGCAGGAGCCAAACGCCCCCCCCCCCCATGGGCACAGCCCCAATCCCCGCACCCCCCCCCCACGGCAGAAGAGCTAGGTCGCACATGTCCTCCTACAGGCGGATGCTGGAAGACAAACGAGAGTCAGCCCACAAAACGCGTTCGACGAGATCCAAAAAGAACCGAGCGATCGCCCCCGGACTGTTCTCTCACTGCTCCTGGCTTCTCCTCCTGCAGAGGGATGCGCCCGGCCTGACAGCACGAGGCCCTCGCCGTGGCTCCCCGGGGCCCCCGTGGCCTGCGCCCCGCGCGGACCACAGCCCCGGCCCCCGTGCCGGGCGGCGGCCCCCCACGGGGGCGCCGCCGGGGAGGGCGGGCTGGCGCGGCGCAGGCCGCCCGTCGGGCGCGTCCCTCCACGGGAGGAGTATGCTCAGGAGCGAGAGAAGGACGTAGGCGTACATGAATCCACGCTGGCTTCGAGGGTTCGCATGGCGCGGATGTTCGTATCACGCGGCCGGTCTCGCGGGTCAAGGGGCCGTGTTCATGTACAGAGCTGGGCGCGTACGTCCTGTGTGGGCTCCCTATATGCAAGAGTAGTCGGCAAACAGTCTGGGGGCGATGTTTCGATGATCGTTCGACTATGCTAGCACATCTGCTTTGGCAGCTTTTCGGGCTTTTCTTCGGAGGACATGCCCGAGCGAACGCTGGCAGCCTGAAACATCGCCCGCTCCGCATGGTCGGCATCACCTTGCGGATCTCTTAAGGGCTTGCTTAGTTTCTGAGGGCGCCTCAAGACTGGCATCGCCTTGGGGCCTTGGGGCTTGCCAACCTCTGGGATATCGGGACCAGCTCCGCGCTGGCTGCAGCTGGTACTTCGGATTGCCCGGGGGGCGCGTCCAGGTTGCGGCCCAGCTGGGGGGGCCCACTGGCTTGGAATCGGGGATCCTCAAGCCGTACGGTGACCACACCGTGTGGAGAGCCATTGGACATTCGGGGTGACCGCACGGTTTTGGGACCGGGAGTATTTCTCCGAAGATGCCTCGAGCGGCTCGGGCCTCCAGGGTCCCAAAGCCATGCGGTGACGGACCGTGCGGTGAGATAGGTTTTCGGGCATTCCAAGATCACCGCACGGCCCCTTGAGATTCGACGTTGCGAACAGACATGCGACATCGCCGCAAATCGCAGCTGAGGCCCGAAACCCCGCGAAAACGCCCGGCGTGAAAAAGGCATGCAGCGCCAGGATCTCAGGGCTCCGAGGTCACCGCACGGTCCCCAGAGCCCTTACCGCACGGTCCCCGACCCCCAGAGGCCTGGACCTCTTCTCCGGGAACGGTTTTTCTTTCCGAGTCGTTCTCTGACGGTCCCAGGGCCCAGCGAGGGCCCCCAGAGGCCGCACATCGTGACAAAACGTTCGTCGCAATTGTGTCCAAAACGCGAGGGACGACGACGACGACGACGGCGGCGACGGCGGCGACGACGACGACGACGACGACGACGGCTGGCGCCCTCAGGCGGCGGCTGCGTGCGCCGGTCGACCCCCCCCCCGCCCGCCCCGCCTCCCACAGCAGGCCTCCGCGGCTGTGCGAGGGGTGCCTGGACGGCTGCACCCCGGAGCAGAGGGCGGAGGCCTGGGCGGGGCCCTCGCAGGATTGGCAGCGCGGAGGCGGCGACGGCGGCGACGGTGGTGGTCGGAGCAGAAGAAGGAGGAGGAGGAGGAGGAGGAGGAGGAGGAGGAGGAGGAGGAGGAGGAGGAGGAGGAGCAGGAGGAGGAGGAGGAGGAGGAGGAGGACGAGGAGGAGGAGGACGAGGACGAGGAGGAGAAGGAGGAGGAGGTAGTCACTCGACCCCTCGGTCGTTGAAAGTGGGCATGTTGTGGGCTCCCAGTGCCCAATCTACTTTCTAGCCGCATTCCTGCTTCAAGGGTCGCGTGGCGTTTCCTCTTCCCTCCTCTACGGGACACGGGCGGAAACCCAATCTACTTCCAACGCCTTCCTACTTCATGGTTCTACCTATTTCTTCCGACCGATTGGTAGGCCTCCTACATGGAGTCCGAGTAGGTTGGGTCGGGGGATCGCGCCGCATCGCCGATGCATCGGCGATGCGGCTCGATGTGGAGCCCGATGTTCTTCACGCCAGCGTCGCCGATGCGGCGTGATCCTCCGACCCCAACTGCTCGGACCCCATCTAGGAGGCCACCAGGTAACGGTACCGCTGCCCTTGCCTCGTTTGCGCCTCTCCGGCCTCCCGGGAGTCGTCGCCGCGGCCGGATTCGCCTCGCCGTTCTGGCCACAACGCACCACCCGGGGAGAGTCCTGGGCAGCAGCGGTGTCGGTGTTTCCAGGTTCCCCCAGATGGTGATGAGGCATTTTGTTTCTTGGAGCTCGTGGTCCTGACCAGAGGCAGGGTGTGGCACCATTGCGTTCCCCCAGATGGTGATGAATTCATGTTGTTTCTTGGAGCTCATGGTCCTGACCAGAGGCAAGGTGTGCTTCTCGTAGTAGCAGGTGCCCGAGGGTTTGGCATGTCGTTCCTACAAGCGCTCTTGCTCCAGGGGGAGGGGCAGGCCAGAGGGCGACCCCAGCAGGCGCCCAGCCCTTAGAGGACCCAAGGGGCAATCACTTGGCATCGTTGGGACGTGTGTGTGTTTTTTCTCTCGGCGAGGACCCTCGAGGGGCAACATGGATCATCTTGCGAGAAACAGACGCACGAAGCCGAACAAAGCACGGGGAACGGACGTCCGAGCGATGGCAAGATCATGACAAGTGCCATGCGCACTTGCGCGCACCAGACCGCTCGCCGCGCAGCTCGATCAGGGAGAATCCTCCACGCATGCGCTCCGCCGTCATCGGGCCGCTCCGCCCGTGCACGAACCACGAGAGTCGTTGCCGCCATCTCAAGCCGCTCCCAGATGTCCTCTGTCTGCGTCCTCTAACTCAGCGTGAGGCCGCTTATGGTCGTGTTCACCGCGTTATTGGGCCCTGGGGCCAGCCCCGGGCTGTCCCGGAACGACCAGCCGTTGCAGGATCCCTCGGAGGCCTGTCGAGGCCCCCGAGAAACCACAGGGCTCCGTCCAGTTGGCAGCGCCGTTTGAAAAATCCGAGCGTGTCTTCGAAAGTCTATGTTTACTGCCGCTCGTTGTTCCTCTAAGGAGGGGCATTCCAGGGGGCTGTCTGTCTCCGGCACCTGCAAACCTCCTGGTCCTTCAACCCATCGAGGAAACGCGAACAACAGCGACGGGTCCCGCTTCCATGCAAAAATCGGCGCGCTTTGTTGCTAAATCAGGCGGCGCTGGCTTCATCTTTCGGAAAGACTGTGTGGTCCTTGATGGGAGCCTCGGAAGGTCCCAAAATTCCTCGCGATTTGGGGGAGTTCGTCCAGATGTCGTCGGAATCGGTAGACTTTTTGACGACATGTTGACGAAATCTGGACGACATGATGAAGAGGGGTGGGCGAAATCTGCCGACTGCCAGCCGAAATCACGTTCACGATGCGACTGCGGAGGTCCACAGAGGCCCCCAGGAAGGCTCACCCAGATTCCTTTTGCCCGGATTCTCGGATGCGTAACATCCGTGGCAGTATTAGTTTTGTCCATTCCGCACGCTTCGCGTCCCTCGCGGCCGGGCACCCTTGTCCCGGGTTCCCGGAGGGCCCCAGTGGCCTCCGAAGGCTGGCAAATATGGTGGTGTAAAGCGGAATCTGCAGCCCATCCTGGCCTGCGCTGGAGCCTCGCACGGGCCCGCCTCTCCTGGACCGCGGCACGCCGGTCCTCGGCCCGGGGTCTGCCCAGCCAGGAGCGGAGAGGCGGTCGGCTGACGCCCCCAGGAGCGTGAGCGTTGATCCTTCGAGGCAGGAGCTGATACAGAACGACCCTCTGAGGGATCAATCTTCGGGGACCTCGGCAGGCGGTGAATCTGGATGTGTTCGGGCCCCCTTGGGCCACATGCAGATATATATATATATATATATATATATAGATAGATATATATGTATATATACATTTACATATACAGATGTACATACATACAAGTACAAACATACGTTACATACACACATGTACGTACATGTCTACATCTGCATACATCTTGTGATATATAGTGTGTGTATGACGCGCTCGTACGCCACTCGCCGCCGCTTGGCTCTTAGCGGCCCCTTTTGCCTTGGCTTGAAAACGTATCATCAATCACACTGGCAGCGGAGCTGCTACACGATCTTCGGTATCGTACCACTGCGCAGGGCTCGTCCTCTCGCGAGGAGAGCTCCTCACCTTTTCTTTGCACTGGGCATCCACCCTTACGAGGGGATTGCTTCCTTGCCGCCATGGCGCTGTCTTCCCTTCGCTATCGGTCGAACGCCGACGCGTTGACTCAGTCGGAGACGAAGGGTGGCTCCTACATCTATGATGGCACCGTGAACAATTTTCACGACTGGGAGTTCCGCACAAAGATGCGTATGAGTGCTGCTTTGTCTGCTGTAGATGCAGAGACAGGAGAACCCCAGGCACATGTTGTCACCGCAGCCGTCAACAAAGTTGTAGAAGGCCTCAGAGGCGACGCGTTCGATATGGCCATGGATATCGGTAAGGACGCGCTTCTGACTCCCAAAGGAATCGACCAGCTGATAACGGCGATTCGTGCTTCACTCTTCCCTATAGAGGCTCAGGAAGCCAAGATCCTGTTCCAGGTAGGTCAGAGGCCCTACGGCCCTCTGTCCAGGCAGAACGGTGAATCGATGGTATCATACATCTCCCGCAGGAAGCGTTGGTGGAAACTCGTCACCAAGTTGGACCCGAAGCTTGTGCTGAGTGACGACACGCTTGGATCCCCCCTCTTGGACCATGCAGGGCTTTCACCCTCGGAAAACCTGATGGTGCTGACATCCACAGGTAACATGACCACCTTTGACAATATCAAGGATGTCTTGATCCTCCAGCACGGCCGTATCCACATCCGCCAAAAGGCCAAAGGTGGAGACCCGTCGAGTAAGGGCTCCAACCCATCGTCGTGGACACAGCATCGGCCCGGCTACCCTAGCAGGAGCAAGGGCAAGGGTAAGACCCGGTACAGCAGGCCGCCCCAGGCCTTCCACGCCACCGACGAAGGTTGGTACGAGCAGGAGGAGCACTATCCAGAGGAGCTTAGTCCCTATGGATACTACGCGTCTGGCTACACTCCAGAGTACGGCTGGGGCGACACGACCTGGACCGACATAGCCTGGATGGCAGACGGGCAGACGGAGGACCAAACTTGGGGCGACGAGGAATCGTACGCTCTCTGGTCACCCGTGCAGGAGGAGAGCGAGCTCGATGGAGACGTGTTTGACGAGATGGTCAAGGCGGGCTACACGGAGGACGAAGCTTCCGAAGTAATCCAAGAGAGCCTGGTCGCCAACCTAGACACCAAGGAAGGTCGTAAAGGTAAAAGCAAAGGCAAAGGTCACAACAACTCAACAACTTGGATAACTACACTGCCGCCCAAGGGCGGTGGCAAGGGAGCACCGACCCTGGAAGATCGTAAAAAGCGACTCCAGGAGATCAAGAAACGTTCCAAGTGCAAGACCTGCCATGAGATTGGCCACTGGTCCGGGGACCCTGAGTGCAAGGGCAAACCCAGGACGGGCTTTGTAGCGTTCACTGGAGAGCGAGAGCTTCAGTTACGCGAGGAAGGCGACGATCATCAGTTCGCGCCTACAGGAACCATTGCCTTATCATCCACCATCCATCATCATACTTATAGTAGCAATATGTCGCACTCGGGCAAGGTTTCCTTTCGCTCTTCCTTCTCCCCTCACTCCTCGAAGTGTCGCAGGGCATGTTCTTGTGAGGGAAAGGATTGTGATGGTCATTGTTGCTTGCTGTCTGGTCATGAAGAGGAGCACACGTGCAGGGGTTGCATGGGGGCCGCTGCTGCTTTGGCCCAAACCAGCCCCGAGCGCGGGCGCGCGGCCGCGACTCTGGAGAGCCCCCAGACCTCAGCGGAGGCTGGCGAGGAGCACTTCGGGTTCATGGCCCTGCGCGCGCCTAGCAAGGCCGCGCCAGGCAGACCCTCGGCCTCGAGGGCTGCTGCCCCGAGCGCCGCCTCGAGGGCGACCGACGCCTCCGACGGGCCAGAGAATTTGTCGATGGCTTCTGTATCGGATGAGGAGTGCGAGACGCCAGATTTGGCCCCTGGTCCAGGGCACGATACGGTGTTCGCTACAGGCCAGCATCGTGGGCTTTCCTATGGCCGAGTGCTGAAGATGACCCCACAATATGTATCGTGGAGCCGCGGTGTGAAGAAGCCGAGTTTGGAGCTGAAGAACTTCTTGGTTTGGTTCGATGAGTATTTTGTCCAGAAGGAGGATGGTAGCATCGGCCGCCGCACCGAGGGGAGCGCCATGCCCTCGGCTAGCTCCAGCGGGACTTCGAGCAGGAAGCCGCCGGATCCGCCGCTGCCTCACCCCTGTGCTCGTGGTTGCACCAGCTTCTCGGGGTCTGGTTCATCGGCGCGCTTTATCGTCCGCACCTGCAGGGACTGCGGTCACAAGACCAAGAAGGAGAGATACGAGGCACTACATCAGCCGGATGAGTGCCCTCGCGATCTCGTGGGCCACCGGGGTAGCACTGCCGACATTCATCGCACGTTCTGCTG